AGAAGACATAAAGATAGAATGAGAGCTAAACTGAATTTAAATGCCATGGAATCATGAAAACATTTTCTAGTAGTAAGGAGGGTGAATTGTTTGAACCCAGGTCTGTTTTGATAATAGAGTTGTGGTGTTTAGGAAAGGGCCAGACTCTTGGGGTGACTTGCAGCCCTGAGAGGTGTTGTTCTCTGTAGGAATACATCACAGGTCATCCTTGTGATAGCAAGAAAGTAGGAGCTCCGTGATTGTAGGAAGTCAGTTTTTCCTTCTACCATTCTGAAAGAAGAAAACTTGATAGGAACATGAATACGACATACTGAGGTACTAGAGATTCTTTGGTTTGGAGGGAATGTATTTCTTGAAGGTAGATTTTTTGAGGCATTCTTACAGGGTAAGAATTGTTAATACCTAGTCTGTGGCTTACCCAGGTGTTTGGTCCTGTAGGAACCCTATGTTTTTTTAGACAGGCTTTCTTATACTGTGTAATACACACACATAGGCTGCCTTTATTTTGAGGTAAGAATATTCAGCTGAAGGGCTGTACCTGGGTCCCTTCAGTTCCAGATGACCTATTCTCACTCAGAGTCTAAACATTCCACTGAGATAAACATAGTTCCTTAAAGCCGAACCCTTCTAAGGGAGCTATAACTGAGGGCAGTATCACTCTTGACATTGCTTTGACCTAAGTAAGGAATTGTCTTACTCTTGGCTAAGATGGCCAACTTGGTGAAAAACTTTGTTCCCAAATGTTTTGTTAATTGAGGTCTTACTGTTTTCTGATATTACGTAGTTTGTATAAGTCTTTTTTTTTTTTTAAGATTTTATTTATTTTTTTGAGAGAGAGTGAGCTCGAGCTTTTGGGGGAGGACAGAGGGACAGGGAGAAGCAGATACCCCACCGAGCAGAGAGCCCAATGCAGAGCTTGATCCCAGGACTCTCAGATCATGATCTGAGCTTAAGGAATACATTAACTGACTGAGCACCCGGGTGCCATGTATAAGTCTTTTTAGAGGACTTGGTATGTTTTTTAAATTTTATTTTAAGTCCAATATAATTAACATACAGTGTTAAATTAGTTGCAGTGATTAAACATTTCATATATTACTCAGTGCTCATTAAGTATACTCTTAACCCCCTTCACCTCTTTCACTCATCACCCACCCGCCTCCCCTTTGGTAACCATCTGTTCTCTATAATTAAGAGTGTGAGTCTGTTTTCCCATTTGTCTCTTTTTTTCATTTGTTTGGTTTCTTAGATCCCACATATGAGTGAAATCTTATGGTATTTGTCTTTTTCTGACTTATTTTGCTTATTAGCATTATACTCTTTAGATCCATCCATGTTGCAGATGGCAAGATTTCATTCTTTTTTATGGCTGAACAATATTCCAGGGTGTGTGTGTGTGTGTGTCTGTGTGTGTGTGTGTAGTACAGTACATTTTCTTTATCCATTCATCTATCAATGGACACTTGGGCTCCTTCCATAATTTGGCTATTGTAAATAATGCTGTAATAAAGATAGGGGTGCATATATCCTTTTTGAATTAATGTTTTTGTATTTTTTTTTTAAGATTGATTTATTAGAGAGAGAGAGTGCACAAGCAGGAGGGGCAGAGGGAGAAGGAAAAAAAAATCTCAAGCAGACTCCACACCGAGTGTAGAGCCCAATGTGGGGCTCAATCTCATGACCCAGAGATTGCAGTCCCACCCAAAACCAGGTTTCAGAAGCTTAACCGACTGTGCCACCCAGGAACCTCTAGGGTTTTTGTACTCTTTGGGTAAATACCCAGTAGTGTGATTATTGGATCATATGATAGTTCTATTCTTAATTTTTTGAGGAAACTCAGTGGCTGTACCAGTTTGCATTCGCACCAACAGTGCATGAGGGTTCCTTTTTCTCCACATCCTCGCCAACACCTATTGTTTCTTGTGTTTTTGATTTTAGTCCTCTGACAGGTGTGAAATGATATGACATTGTAGTTTGGACTTGCATCTCCCTGATGATGAGTGATGTTGAGCATCTTCATGGGTCTGTTGGGCATTTGTATGTCTTTTTTGGAGAAACGTCTGTTCATGTCTTTTTTTTTTTTTTAAAGTAGGCTCCATACACAATGTGGAGCCCAATGTAGGGCATGAACCCATGACCCTGAGATCAAGACCTGAGCCAAAATCAAGAGTTGGACACTTAACCTACGAGCTACTCAGGCACCCCTGTTCATGTCTCTGCCCATTTTTTATTTGGATTATTTGGGGGGGGGTTTGGTGTTGTGTTGTGGAAGTTCTTTATATTTTTTTGTCTATTAACCCTTTACCAGATATATCATTTGCAAATATCTTCTCCTCTTCAGTAGGCTGTGTTTTAGTTTTGTTGATAGTTTCCTTTGCTAAGAAGAATTTTTTTTTATTTTGATGTTGTTTCTATAGTTTATTTTTGCTTTTGTTTCCCCTGTCTCAGGACACATATCTAGAAAAATGTTATGGCCAGTTTCAGAGAAATTATTGCCTGTGCTCTCCTAGGATTTTTACCATTTCAGGTCTCACATTTAGGTCCTTAAACCACTTTTTAAAAAAGATTTTATTTATTTGAGAGAGAAAAGAGGGCACACAAGAGAGCACACAAGGGGAGAGGAAGGTAGGGTGGAGAGAGTCAGAGTAGAGGGAGAAGCAGACTCCCCACAGAGCGGGGAGCCTTACTCGGGCCTTGATCCCAGGACCCTGGGATCATTACCTGAGCCAAAGGCAGATGCTTAACTGACTAAGCCACCCGGGTGCCTAGCCCTTAATCCATTTTGAGTTTATTTTTGTGTATGGTATAATCAAGTGGTCTGGCTTCATTCTTTTGCATGTAGCTGTCCAGTTTTCCTGACACCATTTGTTGAAGAGACTTTTTCCCATTGCATATTCTTGCCTCCTTTGTTGAAGATTAATTGACCATATAATTGTGGGTTTATTTCTGAGTTTTCTAATTTGTTCCATTGATCTATATCTATTTATGCCAGTATCATATTGTTCTGATTGCTACAACTTTGTGGAATGGAATGTTTGGTAGAAATCATCTGTGAAGCTGTTTTGTCCTGGGCTTTTGATTGTTGGGAGGTTTTTTTTTATTTTATTTATTTATTTATTTATTTTTAACTGATTCAATTTCATTGCTGGTAGTCGGTCTGTTCAAATTTTCTATTTTTTCCTGATTCAGTTTCGGGATGTTATATGTTTCTAGGAGTGTATTCATTTTTCTAGGTTGTCCAATTTGTTGGCATATAATTTTCATAATATTATCTTACAATCCTTTGTATTTGTGTTGTAGGACTTAGTATTCTTGTAGTCATTTAAATAACTATATATTATTAGTCTGTCTTTTCCCATAAGGTTTAAGCTTTACCAGAGCAGAAACAATCTGTTTTGTTCCTCAGTGTATCCCTAGTACCTAGCATATAGGTGCTAAAATACTTGTTGGCATAATCTCTCACATAGTTTCACATATCTAGGATGTTTCTAATATAAAATTTAGAGAGCCATGTGCTTCTTTGGGCTTCCTCATAGCATGGTAGCCAGGTTCTAAGAGTGAGGATCTCAAGAAAGCAAGAGTGCATGGCATTTTTATGACCTAGTTTTGGAAAAAATATAGTGTTATTTCTATCATTCTTTATTGGTCAGTCACAAAATTCTTCCCAAGTTCAAGGTGAAGGAATATGGACTTTGCACCTTGAGGAGTGGCCACCTCAGCTTCTCCAAATTCCAGTCTCAATGTATTCAATTAATCCAGAATGCAGTGCCTGTGTACTTTATATATTTTGGTCTGGCAAGTGATTCCAGGTATAAAGCTAGAGTCATCATAGGGTTCATTCGTTTTCCTTCTCTCAGAGCTCACAATCCAATGCAATTCCTTTTGCCCACCATCTATTATCAGTTGTTTCATGTATTTTATTCAGTTTTCTAGTTTTGTATGTTGGAGGGGAAAGTTCCACACCAGCATTGCAAGTTAGAGTATGAGTTTTACACCAAGGATTTCATTCTTCTTTTATCAACTTAAGGTATATTTTAGTTTCCAAATGTAAAAATGAAGTCAACTTTGGGCTAGAATTAATAATTTGATTTCATCTCAGACCTATCTCCAACTTACAACATGAAAATCGGCAAATCTTGTTTCTTTGGTTTTCATGCAAACTGAATTGAGTATAAATTACCCTCTTCTCAGGGTTACTTCTCAGGCATTCCATAACAAGCAAGTGGAAACAAAACCAAATCACACTAAATAAAGATGAGGTTATATTTATAGTTAGTTGACAAAACTTACTTCCCTAACCCTTTCTGGTACAAATTGATACTGTAACGTACAAAGGGGCTGAGAGTGTATAAGACTGGCCGTTTCCCTGCTTGTCCTCCTAGTAATAACCAATTAGTATTGAACCTGAGGAACTGTGTAAGCCTTTTATGTGAATTAACTCACCAAATCCTTGTAACAGCCCTATGGGATAGGTACTTTACTGTCCTCATTTCACACATGAGAATGAGACCTAGATTAAGCGTTTGCATAGGGTCACACAGTGCTAAGTAGCCGTGGCAGAATTGGAATTGACTTGAACCCTAGCTGTGTGGGTCGTGCTCTTAACTGTATATAAGTATTTGAAAACCACTAAAAATGTGTCACCTGCTGCTGAGGTAGAATCATTAGTTATCTTTAAGTGTAAGAGAGAGTATCATTCTTGGAATCACGTCAACAAATCTTGTTTGTTTAGTCAGTGTGACTGATTTCTGTGGGGAAGCAGAAAGATTGGGCTATAGTTGGAATATGTGATTTCCTATAAAAACAAACAAACATCATCAGTGTGACAGGAAATGGTAGATGATAATGTACAGCAAAAACAAACCAGAAAGTAGCAGAGGAATGGAGTCCAAAGGGCCCAGTGTGGTCCATGAAGGTCATGGGTGTTTATTGAATCTCTCCTGTCTGACAGCTGTTTTGATATTAATAGGTTCTATTATTCTTTTTCTCCCCCTTCTCAGACATATTTAATGAAGCCAAACACCAAAATGTTAACACACTTTCCTGGAGAGAAAAAGGCTAAGATTTCTTTTACTCAAAGAATTCCACCTACAGGCATTCGGCAGACCAGCATTGCTTCCTTCTTCACCCTGCAGCCAGGTATGATGACCCACCTGGGAATACCCGGGGAGCAAAAAGGAGTGTGTGCATTTTTCTGTGCTGGAGAATTTATGAGAAGTGGTAACACCAGTGCATTGTGTTAAACTTGGCTGACTCATTAGAAGAGGATATCAAACAACAAAGCACCCCCTTCTGCTAGGCATTATAAACATGCTTTTACTAACATTTTCTCATTCTGTGTGCTCAGTCTAATATTAAATGTTTGTATTCCCTGACAGAGCAGCAAGGAGAAAGGTATGCTTGGGGAGTTGGGGTGTGCAGAGGAGCCGATCTGCCCTAGTTAGGTAAATGTCTTGGATTGGCCATAATGAGCAGTGTATATATGATTACTTGATAACAGATATTTCTGTATAGTGCTTCTCAACATTCAGAGTTCAAAGATGCTTTTTTTCTTAGAAAGGTTGGCATAAAGTTGGCTTGTGTCTCATTATCCTTTGGCAGTTTTTTGCTTACATGTCCCTTTCCAGGTGACGAGCTGCTTCAAAGCAGGGTGTCTGCCAGTTGGAGGGTTTTGGGAGGAGAGCTCTAACTCCTGATGTGATTCCCAGGATTGCTTTACACAAATCTTCAAAATTCACTGTCCTTACCCCAAAGAGAAACTTAAAATAAGCACCCTTTGGCTTTAAGTAACAAGGGCAGATTTCTTTCAAGGACACTTCTGATTTAAAGAAAAAAAAAATATATATATATATATATAAATTATATATATATTTATATATTTTATATTTAGTAAATATATATTTAGTATATAATAATATAATATGTATTACATACTATATATTACATATTATATATGTAATACATATTTTATTATTATATACTAAATATATATAATATATATAATATGTATATATATATATATATTTATATTTTTTAAGTAGGTTCCATGCCCAGCATGGAGCCCAACATGAGGCTTGAACTCACGACCCCAAGATTAAGACCTGAGCTGAGATCAAGAGTTGGATGCTTAATAGTCTGAGCCACCCAGTCATCCCCCGCTATTTCAAAATTCTGGTATATATATAATCTGTTGAATTCTTAGGCAAAGTTGAGACATCTTTCACAAAACAGTTTCTGCAGTATAATTCTTGTTGGAGAAGGAAAAAGGAAATCATTCAGCTTTGTAATTAGATCTTGGTATAATTTAGGGGAAAGGTAGTCCATGTTATTCATCCTTAAGGCAGAACAGTATCCATTCCATGCCTGATAAAATGGACAAGCTGGACACTAGCAGTCGTTTATTATTTTTCGTCCAACTGGTTGACTTAGCATCTGATTGTTTATTCCTCTTCCCAAGCCATATTTGCAGAGTAGAGGCCCTAATGTTATTTGTACTGTCACCAGAAGGTTTCTAGAGTTGGATGGTTAATGTGATCTTAGTGACCTTACAAAAATTGTGTTGTGCCTATTTCTCAAAGGATAATATCCAGGAATATATATTTGGCCAAGATCACTATTTAACAGAAACCATATTAAATAAAAAACAAAGGCAAAACTCATGTGCCCTGTTAAACCCCATATCCTAAAACACAGCTGGAAAAGTAGGCTGTGGTCTGAGTATACCTACCACGTTTGACTTGAGTAGGTCATTAGAAGCATCCATATATTTGAGTAGTGGAATATAAGGTCTGAGGTTTAAAAGCATCATTCTGGCGAAAGCAGAGATTGAAAGCAGGAAGATCATGGGGTGCCTGGATGGCTCTGTCAGTTAAGTGTCTGACTTCAGCTCAGGCCATGATCTCTGGATCCTGCGACTGATGCCCCGTGTTGGGCTCCCTGAGTGAGGAGTCTGCTTCTCCCTTTCTGCCCCCTTCCCATTCTTTCTCTCTCTCTCAAACAAATAAATAAAACCTTTTTTTTTTTTTCTTAAAAAAAAAAAAAAAGAAAGAAAACAGGAAGATTAGCTGTAAATGTGTGTGATGAGTCTAACTAAGACCCCTGTGCTAGGTGATGATAGTAGCTGATACAGATTTCAGAAAAAGCCAGCTAAGTCCTGCTCAGGGCAGAGACTTCCTGCAGAATAATTATTCACGTCTATTTTGCTAGGAAAGACAAATGATGGTGACCAGAGGAGTGTTTCGTCTCATATAGAAAGTCAGATCAACAAAGAGTCTGAGAAAGATGCAGCCCATCTAGATCATCTGATCCAGGGCTTGGAGGACGAGTGCATGTCACCCCCATTAGCCACTTCAACCCCTGCAGATACCCAGGAAGCTGGACTTTCTCTTCATTCCCCCCAGGCTTCTGACCATCACAGAATGGGAACTTCGTTTTTGACTGTGCTGTCTTTGCCCCAGCCTGACCCCTTGGTCTGTGCTGGAAAGAGCAAAGCCTCATTCTCTTGTTCCTTCACTCAGAACTTGGAAGGTCCTTACTTGCTGGACCAACAGGAAGGAGATAAAGACGCTTTCTGGAAAAGGGAATGGCTTCATGGATCTAAGGAAAAAAACTATCAGGATGTGGAGAGACGCATTCAACCACCGGGGGGCAAAGGCCTTCAGTCCTTGTACAAGATTAAATTGGGAAAGGTGTCTGCCCGAGAAACCAGGCAGGACCCCATCCTCCTTCAAACATTCCATTCCCGGAACGGAGAAAACACAGACTTAGTGAAACAAAGCCCTTGTTCTGTCCCTGCATTTTCCTGGGACAGTGAAAAGAATGACTCCTGGAGTCAGCTTTTCACTGAGGATTCTCAGGGCCAGCGGGTCATTGCCCACAACTCTAGAGCTCCTTTCCGAGATGTAACGAACAATCAGAATCGGGACTTAGGGCAGTTGCACAATAGCTCTTGGGCTCAGTGCCAGGAGAGGCCAACTCAGTTAAATCTGCAGCCTGATTTGCTCTTTACCCAGGACTCTGAAGGTAATCAAGTTATCAGGCACCAAGTCTAAATACCTTGATGATGGTTTGGTTCTAGAAGTACCTTGAGATGACAGAGCTATAGGAAAATATTGGGCGGGAGGGCAGCGGAGGGAGGCAAGGGATGAAGTTATTGTTGAGCATTTCTTTGTGTAAATAAACCAGGTGGTGGCACTTGTTGAGACTGTATGATTGGCATCGTGCGTCTCCCCGGGAAGAGGTGGCTGGTAACCATGGCCAAGTCTGTGATGAGCACTGAGAGGAGGTAGGGCAGGTACTTATCCTTCTACTAAAGAGCCCTTACTTAGTCTGCATAGCCCCCTCTTTGCCCTTTCAGATCCCTGACTAGGACATTGCTTCTTACGAATGTATGTTCTAATCTCTGGCTGTTATCTTACCCATGCAACCTTGGGACCATTATTCCTGACACCGTTTTGAGTTATAAGGCATATTTCCTGGGTCCAGGGGTATGGGGGCAGGGGGGATAGAGAGATAAATAATAGAATGATGGTAGGGTGTTTTTGTTTTAAAGTAGGCTCCACGCCCAGTGTGTAGCCTAATACAGGGCTTGAATTCATGACCTTGAGATCAAGACTTGAGCTGAGATCCAGTCAGATGCTTAACTGACTGAGCCACCCAAGCGCCCCAATGGTAGTTTTTCTTTTTGTTTTTTTTTTTTTTTTTTGTGGGGACTTTATAGCATTTTAAAGTTTTATATTCTATGTTTAAACATCTCTCTAAAAAAAGCCTGTGCTGGGGCACCTGGGTGGCTCAGTCAGTTAAGCGTCTGCCTTCATGATCTCTGGGTCCTGGGATAAAGCCCCACATCGGACTCCCTGCTTAGTGGACAATCTCCCTCTCCCTCTGCCCCTACTTACCCCTCCCCCCCCGACCTTTTGCTTTCTTTCTCTCTCAAATAAATAAATAAAATCTTTAAAAAAATAAAAAAGATTTTAAAGCTTGTGCTATTAAAAAAAGCCTGAGGCTACATAGCAATCCAGATGTGATGATATCGCTCTGCTATACAAGGTATAAGAGAATTCCCTTTGTAAAAGTTATGAATCCAAATAAATGGCTGTTTACAAACTTGACTCTAACGGTAACTAAAACATTACCATTTTATTTCTGAAAAAGCAACGTTTAATAGTTATATGTTCTCTATCATTTTCATGGATCCCATCTCAACACCCATCTAGCCAAGATGTTATCCACCAGGTGGCGGTTTCTCATGTCGCAGGTGTGCTAGCTACCTTAGGAGGCTTAAACACCCTCTACAGGGCAAGTGTCCCAAGTTCTAAGATGGAACTACTTTAAGAGTTTAGGGTAAATCCCTACAGAAGGGGACAAGAGGCTCCCTATGGAAGTTTTCTCTTATATAGGCAGGACTTTGTAAAGAAAGAGGGAAAGCCAGGAACCTGTTCATGAAAGTTCACATACCCTTAAAATTAGTAGGAATCCTGTACTCATGAGGGATACCAGGTAATTACAACGCAGAGACAAAGAGCACATGCAGCATCTCTCCATATCCTTCATTTAATATCAGGTAGTGCTTCAACCCAAACACACAGGATACATACCATAGAGGAAGGGACCTGAGGGCGTCTGAGTCATGCATGGTGTGGTAGGTACAAACCTTGGCCCAGTGCAAAGGAGCAGTCAAGGGCCTGGAAGAAGGATGGTGCTGTTTCTCCTTCCCATGTCTCTTCCCTATTGGGCTTAAACTAAAGTCCATGGAAGAGAAAGTGTTTTCAATCAGTGGAACCCATGAGGTCCCAGGGCCTGGGAGGATAGATTTGGTTGTACAGTATTACAAAATATATTTAAGAAAAAAACAACCCAGGCCTCCCAGCAGTAGCCCAAGTGTCAGCTGGTCCAGAGGTCCAACCTCTACGTCTAGGGACAGGAAAGAGGGAGAAGGTGACTGCTGGGCACTGGTGTCAGTTTATGATGGAGCAGCATAAGACTTTCCCTGCCCTGTCAAACATATAAACATTTATAGCCCCACACCCCTCAGCCCTGCTCTGCTGCAAGGAAGCTGCTGAGAGTGACAGCTGGGCACAAAGTGTCTGGTGAGACCAGCTATGGGGTCTAATGCAGTGAAGTAAGCCATTCATTTAGGACCTATTTTCACACAGAGGCAAGGAAAAACCAAACTTCTGTCTCACCCTTTAGACTGAGACATTCCGAACTATACATTTACCTGTAACAAGTGTCTTGGTGCAAAACAGCCCTTAGCTTCTGCTAAGGTTTAAAGCAAAGGAAGCATGATCCAACTCTTCTCTTTCAGTCCAAGCTCTAGCTTTCAGCAAGACTGTTGCTAAAGATTTCTGAGAGGCATAAAGGTCTGTGGTGAGGAAGGCAGCTACTGAAGGAATTCCAGGAGCATGAGACTGAATTTGCAGAGCTGAGTTCTGTCAGTTTCCTTTTCTACTAATATCTTCTTCCTTCAGAGCAAACTTCCTCCTTAGGACCTCAGAGATAAGGACAGCAGGGTCTTCCTCCTTTAATAAACTCCGGTTCCTGGAGATGAAATAACAGCTTGTATTTATTAAGTACTTGGTCTTAGGCAGTGTTTTGTGTCTTTGAATACATTATCTCATTTAGTCCTCCCAACAGTCTTACAAAGAAGTCTTCAGATGAGAAATGAAACAGAAGGGTTCTAGAGTCTGCCCAAAGTCACTAGGCACTCAGCCAGTAAGTAGCAACAGCAAATCCAGAGTCCGAAACCGAGCTAACTGGTTTCTTAACTAGAATGCTTTACTATTTCCTGAAATGGCTATAAAATGTGGGCAAAAGTAAATGACTGTCAACTGGTTAGGGTTGGCCTATGGTGGCTAAAGCTTCTCCACCCACCTTCTGGTGCTATCTTTTCTTAGTAGCATTTCCCCAGGTTAGCAGGGGAAGGGACTACAGACTTGGCTCTTCTGACCTTTATTAGTTATGGGGGAAAGGTGTGCTGAGGATTTCCTATAACCCTGCCTGCTCATCAGGGGAACTCTGAGATGTTTTTAATTGGAAAGAACACTTAACATGATTTCTACCCTCGTAACAAACTTCTGAGTGTATATAATACATTACTGTCACCTACACGTATAATTTTTTTTTTTAATTAAAAAGTTTTCAATTTCTTTTTTACCTTTGACACCCTTCACCTATTTCTTCCGTCCCTACCCTGAGCCTCTGGCAAGCACCAATCTGTCCTTTGTATCTACAAGCTTGGTTTTTTTGTTTTTTTGGGTGTTTTTTTTTTGTTGTTGTTGTTGTTTTTAATTTAGATTCCCATGTAAGTGATCATATAGTTTTCTGTCTGTCTTGTTTTGCTTAGCATAACGCCCTCGAGGCATTATATTGTTGCAGATGGTAAGATCCTTATTTCTTTTTCTTTTCCTTTTTTTTTTTTTTTTAAGAGATGGGGGAAAGGGCAGAGGGAAAGGGAAAGAGAGACTCAGGCAGGCTCCATACCCAGCGCAGAGCCCAACACAGGGCTCACAACCCTGAGATCATGACCTGAGCTGAAATCAAGAGTCATATGCTTAACCCACTGAGCCACCCAGGCCCCCCCACCCCCACTGTATTTTTTAGGGGGGGAGAGAGGCAAATGGCAAGATTTCAATATTTTTTTAAGGCTGAATAATACTCCAATCTGTATATATACCACAATTTCTTTATCCATTCATCCACTGGTGGACACTTAGTTTTTTCATATCCCAGCTATTGTAAATAATGCTGCAGTGAATACGGGGGTGCATACATCTTCTCAAGTGTTTTTTTTTTTTTTTTTTTTTTTTTTTTTTTTTTGATAATACCCAGAAGTGGAATTGCTGGATCATTAGGTAGGTTTTGAGGGGGCACTAGTGAGAAGGAGAAAGAGATTCTTAAGCAGGCTTCATGCCCAATTTCAAGACCCTGAAATCATGACCTGAGCTGAAATCAAGTCAGACACTTAACTGAGCCACCCAGGCACTCCCATGTGGTAGTTCTATTTAATTTTCTGCATACTGTTTTCCATAATGTGTGTACCAATTTTTTTTTAAGGTTTTACTTATTTATTTGACAGACAGAGATCACAAGTAGGCAGAGAGGCAGGCAGAGAGAGAGGAAGGGAAGCAGGCTCCCTGCCGAGCAGAGAGACTGATGCGGGGCTCGATCCCAGGACCCCGGGATCATGATCTGAGCCGAAGGCAGAGGCATTAACCCACTGAGCCACCCAGGCGCCCCTATGTGTACCAATTTACATCCTACCTATAGTCAACAAGGGTTCCCTTTTCTCCACATCCTTGCCAATACTTATCTTTTTGATATAAGTCTAACGAGTGTGAGGCAAAATTTGTGGTTTTGATTTGCATTTCTCTGAAAAAATGTCTGTTAGAGTCCTCTGCCCATTTTTTAATCAGACTGTGTTTTTGGGCTTGTCTTTTCCTTTCTTGCTATTGAGTTGTATGAGTTCTTTATATATTTTGGATATTAACCCTTATTAGATATATGATTTACAAATATTTTCTCCCATGCAATAGGTTGCCTTTTCATTTTCTTGGTTTCTTTTGCTGTGCAGAAGCTTTTTACTTTGATATAGTCCCACTTGTTTATTTTTGCTTTTGTTGCTTTTATTTTTAGTGTCTGGTTGAAAATATATCATTGCCATGATCTGTGTCAAGGAGCTTACTGCCTGTGTTTTCTCCTAGGAGTTTTATGGTTTCAGGTCCAAACATTCAAGTCTTTAGTATATTTTGAATTAATTTTTTGCATATGGTGTAAAATAGCGGTTGAGTTTCAGTCATTGGTATGTGGCTGTCCTGCTTCCCCACACTATTTGTGGAAGAGACTGTCTTTTCCCTACTCCATGTTCCTGGGTCCTGTGTTGTAAATTGACCATAGATGTGTGGGTTTATTTCTGGGGTCTGTTCTCCACTGATTTGTTTTTAGGCCAATAACATATTACTTTAACTACTACAGTTTTGTAATAGAGTTTGAAATCAGGGAGCGTGATACCTTCAGTGTTGTTCTTTCTCAAGACTGCTTTGGCTATTTGGGGTCTTTTGGGTTCCATACAAATTTTAGGATACTTCTAGTTCTGAAAAGAATGCCATTGGACTTGTGATAGCAATTGCATTGAATCTGTAGATTGCTGTAGTATGGATATTTTAACATTATTACAATCCATGAGCACGGAATATTTGTTTCCTTTTTTTAAAAAAATATTTTATTTATTTGACAGAGAGAGACACAGCGAGAGAGGGAAAACAAACAGGGGGAGTGGGAGAGGAGCAGGCAGCCCAGTGAGGGGCTCGATCCCAAGATCCTGGGATCACAACCTGAGCTGAAGGCATACGCTCAACGACTTAAGCCACCCAGGCTCCCCATTTGTGTTTCCTTCTTTCCTTGATGTCTTACAGTTTTCAGTATACAGCTCTTTCACCTCCTTGATTAATTTTTATTCTAGGTATTCTGTTCTTTTGATGCAATTTTAATTTGGGTTACTAATTTCTCTGATAGTCTGTCATTAGTGTATAGAAACACAACAGATTTTTA